GGAGTCTTGCTCTGTTGCCAGGCTGGAGTGCAGTGGCGCGATCTCAGCTCACTGCAACCTCCACCTCCCGGGTTCAAGCGATTCCCCTGCCTCAGCCTCCCGAGTAGATGGGACTACAGGTGCGCGCCCCCACGCCCGGCTAATTTTTTGCATTTTGGTAGAGACGGGGTATCGCCGTGTTGGCCAGGATGGTCTCGATCTCCTGACCTCATGATCCGCCCGCCTCGGCCTCCCAAAGTGCTGGGATTACAGGCGTGAGCCACCGCGCCTGGCGGAAAACCCCAGCTTTCCACACCTGAGTAACAAAAGGATGGGAAGCTACTCAGTTTGCAAACCGCCATCCCCGCTTTTTCGGTGCGCCAGACGGAAAATATGAACTATCTCTGATTGGTTGCTTTCTGCAACCAATCAGACGTTTGCACAGGACTGTAACTCGTAACTTCATTTCAGCCTGATTGGTTGCAAGAACCAACCAATCAGAGATAGTTCATATTTTCCGTCTGGCGCACCGAAAAAGCGTGGATGGCGGTTTGCAAACTGAGTAGCTTCCCATCCTTTTGTTACTCAGGTGTGGAAAGCTGGGGTTTTCCGCCAGGCGCGGTGGCTCACGCCTGTAATCCCAGCACTTTGGGAGGCCGAGGCGGGCGGATCATGAGGTCAGGAGATCGAGACCATCCTGGCCAACACGGCGATACCCCGTCTCTACCAAAATGCAAAAAATTAGCCGGGCGTGGGGGCGCGCACCTGTAGTGCTTCTTGCAACCAATCAGACTGAGTGCAGCCAAGTCTTTTTGTTTTATTTTTGTTTTGTGTTAAGACAGAGTCTCATTCTTATCACCCAGGCTGGAGTGCGGTGGCACGTTCTAGGCTCACTGCAACCTCAGCCTCCCGGGTTGAAGCGATTCTCCTGCTTCCGCCTCGCGAGTAGCTGGGATTACGGGTGCCCGCCACCATGCCCAGCTAATTTTTCTATTTTTATTAGAGATGAGGTTTCGTCACATTGGCCAGGCTGGTCTGGAACTCTTGACCTCAGGTTATACACGCACCTTGGCCTCCCAACGTGCTGGGATTACAAGGGTGGGCCACCACGTCCAGCCTTTTTTTTTTTTTAATACCGAGTCTTGCTCTTTCGCCAGGCTGGAGTGTAGTGGCGCGATCTCGGCTCACTGCAACCTCCACCTCCCTAGTTCAAGAGATTCCCCTGCCTCAGCCTCCCGAGTGGCTGGGACTACAAGCGCCCACCACCACACCCGGCTAATTTTTATATTTTCAGTAGAGACGGGGTTTCACCGTTTGTCCAAGATGGTCTGAAACTCGGAACCTCAGGTGATCCACCCACCTCGGCCTCCCACAGTGCCGGCTGTGCTTTCCACAACCAATCAGATGCTTGTATACGGTGTCACTTTTGTAACTTAAATCCGAGAGGGGCTCTTGAGCCCCTAGGCTCAGCCCACCCCCTCTCTGTGGAGTGTTACTTTCGGTTTTCAATAAACCTCGGCTTTTGTTACTTCTTCCAGTGCTTGCTTTGGGCATTTTGTCCAATTCTTTGTTCAAAATGCCAAGGACCTGGGCATCTTCCACCAGTTTAACAATCACGGTGTAAGAAATGGGGGGCAGACGCCATACCAACAGCCCACGGGGCGCCCCAGGTGATGAAGGTCCTATTTCATTATCAGAACTGTCAGGGCAGGCAGCGAGCCCTGCAGGATGGAAAGCCCCTGGGGGCGGCGACCCACTCGCCTTCTCTGGGCGTCCTGCTCTCTGGAAATAAGTGCATCCGGGTCACACCGGAAGTTCACTGCTCTTTGCGCGTCCAGAGGTTACTTCCTGGGACGGTCCTTGGTGGAGACTATGCGTGGAGCCTTCCCTGCACCCTGCACTTGGGGATGGCTCCCTCTCTTCTATCCTCTTCCCCCAGAAAGAAACTGCCATCAGGAGGTGGCATTAACAACACCAGAGGCGGCACCGGGCCAGGCAGGTGACGTCAGCTTAGGGAGCACCCGATGCGCTGGTCCCCGCGGGACAGAACGTCAGGAGAGCTGGGGTATATATGGGTTCAGCAGACCACGACCTCGCTGCGTGCGCTTGGGGGCTCTACTCAGTCGCCTCGTGTATAAATGGAAATGCTTGATCCCCTTTATGAATCACCTCAATTTAAAATAAGAAGGGTTGGACAAAGAGAAAGAAATGAACATTTATTGAATATGTGTCATGCTTTATTGGCCATCTTGTATAATGAGCACAGCAACCCTGGGCAGGAGAGCAGGCAACATGAAGGACACGTGGAGCCCAGGAAAAACTCCTTGATGGAGGTGGTGCTCCAGAAGCCACCTCAGCCGGGCCCATGGCGTCTTTTCCTGGTTGACTTTACTTTCTGATGTCACCAGCAATGAACTACAAATCACCAGGATATGACCTGTCCTGTCATGGCACCACATCAAAACTCTGAGGTCTCCCAATAAAAGAGGCCATGAAACAAAAAAAAACTGTAAACCAGGTAAAATGGGGACATTTTGCTCTGCGCTCCTAAGGAATGCATGATTTTTACTTTTTTTTTTTTTTGGCAGTTGGGGGACAGTCTTGTTCTGTTGCCCAGGCTGGCGTGCAGTGGCGAAATCTGGGTTCACTGCAACCTCTGCCTCTCGGATTCCAGCAATTCTCCTGTGTCACTTTCTCGAGTAGCTGGGGTGACAGACACCCACCACCACGCC